AAAAAAAAAAAAAGGTCATAAAATATCTAACTGGGAAGTATTTCCTTTGCAACAACCAATCTGACAGAAGTTATTACTATTATATTAGCAATCTAAGGACTTGAATATAAAAAAAACAAAAACTTAATTCTTCTTTGCAAACTGATTAATGTGAGTGTCAATTTTTCCAAGTCATAGTAATTTGTGCCTAAAAATGACCTTTCTTCCCTGAAGGGGGAAAATCTCACCTACTAATAATGTCTTTCACATCTCGAGACAAATCACATTTCTGAAACCCAGGAGACTTGGAATGCCAATATCTGTCAAACGGCTCCACTGAAAACCCAGATGCGAGGTGAAGTGACAAAATTACCAGGGCAACTGTGATGAGTCAGCACCACCGTTTCTGGACATTTCTTTCACCCACACTCAAAAATAATTTTATTAATTCCGAAAAACTGCTGATGAGAAACTGTGGAGGAGCCAGGATAGAAAATTATTATTGAAATTTCTCCTCTCTCCTCCCTACAATAAAAGGGGCTACCCAAGGGTCCTAAGTGCAGAGAAATGCTAGAATGGTACATTTTTCCCTAGGTGGATGGGAAATCAGATAAATGTAGACTGTAAAAGGGAAAACCTATCCACAGAGGTTTATTTTAAACACAAACTGAGAGCTAAAAAAATTTTTTTTGTTTATGTACTTTAAGAAAGTAAAAGGCTGCAAAAAGAGGGTAGAATTCCTTTGTTGACAGCCAGGTTCCTCTCTTCTTCCCATCTCTCATGTCTCCATTTTTACACTGATTTCACCCTGATTTTATTCCCTTTCTCTGTCATTTTTCTGAAAAGGGTTTCTTGTCCCCATTTTTACACTGATTTCACCCTGATTTTATTCCCTTTCTCTGTCATTTTTCTGAAAATCCAACCCTCAACTCTTCTCATGTGTGTATAATACACATATGCACATATATGCATATACATGTATAGGTGCATGCCATATGTAGATGTTGCCAACACACACACACACACACACACACACACACACACACACACACACAGCTTTTTAACACAATGAGTTGTACCCAATACTCTCATTATTTATGTTAATACTCAAACTGTCCTAGATTGGACCAGCAGGAGCCCCTTCAAGCTAGTTCCTATGTCTTTAGACCTGTCCCTTAATTTTTTTTGGCAATTCCTTACTTTCTGATCCAATAAGGTATCCCAGGTTCATCTCATACTTCCCCTGTCCCAGTCCAGGAAACAGCCATTTCTCCAAAGGAGCCATTGTTCCTTTTAGTAGAGGGTAGTATTTAAAAACCAAGATCTGGGCACAGTGTGGTCATAGCTAAGGTGGGGTCATTGTCTCTAAATCTTCTCAGCAGAAAATGTATAAATACACACACACATGTATTCCCTTATACAAACACATCACCACTTTCTCGGCTGCAGACAGCTCCACGCAATGCCCCTCCACCTCACTACTACTTCCTCAGACACTTATGTCTCTGCACTAAGAAGGGAGGGTTTAGCTATCTTTTAAATGTACCAAATTTAGGTAAATTATGAATTGAAGTGAAAATGACATTTTTTTTATTTGACAATAAATCACTAGAATAGCTAGAACCTGGCAGTTACTGATTCTAAATTTCAGATACAGATAAAGATGTCCTCTAGTTATAATAATGTTAGACTGTAAATGTTACAACGGGTAACATTTGAGCACCTACACTGTGACTGGCACAACAGAAAACACTTCAGTTCTTTAGTCCTCGCAATAACTTATGAGTTTGGTCACTGCTTAGCACTGTCCAATGCCAATAAAACACCACTGCTGCCTTGTTTTCCTTCCTTTTCATACGTGCTTCAGTAAATAAACATTTCCAAACAACCAGCCTTAATGTCAGCCTTATAAATTAAATCTTTTATTTACACCACACATTTGCTAGAAGGGAAATTCCATTTGGGGACTAAGCTGGAATTCAGACACATCGGAGCATGTTTGGAAAAATGACTGTTCAGACTAGGCCACCATATTAAAGGGAAAACAAAGAGGAAGAAGGAGCCACTCACACTGTTTTACCCAGAAATAAAGCTTTAAAAGCAGAGGGCAAAGAGTGATGCCAAATACAGACTGCCGTTCTTCATATAAGTTTTCCCATGCTGGCCCCATGACCTCATTCATGGAGCAGAGGAAGACAGAGTACAATTTAAAATATGAAGACGTATCAAGAAAGTAAGTCTATTTACAATAGTCACCAAAGAATAAAATACCTAGGAATAAAGTTAACCAAGGAGGTGAAAGATCTCCACAATGAGGACTACAAACCTCTACTGAAAAAAATTAAAGAGGACACAAAAAGATGGAAAGACATTCCATGCTCTTGGACTGGAGGAATTAACATTGTGAACATGTCCACATTACCCAAAGTGATCTACAGATTCAATGCAATCCCAATCAATATACCAATAACATTCTTTACAGAAATAGAAAAAAAATCCTAACAATATGGAACAACAAAAGACCATGTATAGCCAAAGCAATCCTGAGCAAAAAAAAAAAAGTGAAAGGCATAACTGTACCAAACTTCAAATTATACTAGAAAGCTATAGTAACCAAAACAGCATGGTACTGGAATAAAAATAGACACTCAAAATGACTGTTCAGACTAGGCCACCATATTAAAGGGAAAACAAAGAGGAAGAAGGAGCCACTCACACTGTTTTACCCAGAAATAAAGCTTTAAAAGCAGAGGGCAAAGAGTGATGCCAAATACAGACTGCCGTTCTTCATATAAGTTTTCCCATGCTGGCCCCATGACCTCATTTATGGAGCAGAGGAAGACAGAGTACAATTTAAAATATGAAGACGTATCAAGAAAGTAAGTCTATTTACAATAGTCACCAAAGAATAAAATACCTAGGAATAAAGTTAACCAAGGAGGTGAAAGATCTCCACAATGAGGATTTACAATAGTCACCAAAGAATAAAATACCTAGGAATAAAGTTAACCAAGGAGGTGAAAGATCTCCACAATGAGGACTACAAACCTCTACTGAAAAAAATTAAAGAGGACACAAAAAGATGGAAAGACATTCCATGCTCTTGGATTGGAGGAATTAACATTGTGAACATGTCCACATTACCCAAAGTGATCTACAGATTCAATGCAATCCCAATCAATATACCAATAACATTCTTTACAGAAATAGAAAAAAAATCCTAACAATATGGAACAACAAAAGACCGTGTATAGCCAAAGCAATCCTGAGCAAAAAAAAAAAGTGAAAGGCATAACTGTACCAAACTTCAAATTATACTAGAAAGCTATAGTAACCAAAACAGCATGGTACTGGAATAAAAATAGACACTCAGACCAGTGGAACAGAATAGAGAACCCAGAAATCAACCTACAGACCTACAGCCAATTGATATTTGAGAAAGGCAATAAAAACATACATTGGGGAAGAGACTGCCTCATCAGTAAGTGGTGCTGGGAAAATTGTATATCTATAGGCAGAATAATGAAACTAGACCTGCACCTCTAAACCCATATCAAAATCAACTCAAAATGGATTAAAAACTTAAGTATAAGACCTGAAACTGTAAAACCACTAAGGGAAAATACATGGGAAACACTTCAGGAACTAGGACTGGGCACAGCCTTTATGAACAAGAGCCCAAAAGCACAAGCAACAAAAGAAAAAACAAAACTATATCAAACTAAAAAGCTTCTGCACAGCAAAGGAAACAATCAACAGAGTGAAACAACAACCTACACAATGAGAGAAAATATTTGCAAACTATACATCTGACAAGGGCTTAATATCTAGAACATACAATGAACTCAAGCAATTACAGTGTAAAAAAAATAAATAAATAACCCAGTTAAAAAAAGGACAAAGGAACTGAATAGACATTTTTCTAAGGAAGACAAACAAATGGCCAACAGGCACTTAAAAAAATGCTCAACATCGCTAATCATAAGGGAAATGCAAATTAAAAC